AGTCCAAATCATGGCAATGGTTAACCACGTGAGATCATTACACAGGATAGGCACACTATTTAAACCGCGCGGCATCGGAGCCACCGATTTGGCCCATTGGGCTCATACCACTATCGTAAACGAGACGCGAAACGAACACTGTTTCGCAAATCCTCAGACGAGCAATTTCACACAAGATCTAAATTGGTACAGATTTCCATAAAAGCGATTCACACTACAGTCCGCCAACAGGAAGAAAGTAGAAAGTGTTCGAAGATCAATAAATTGACGCGAATCATCGACGGGAAAAGTAGAAGTAATTTCAATAATACACAAATGGTATCGACAACTTGAGGCTAGACGGTTTTGGAGCGATGAAACCTCTGCTCACTGCGACGACCGGATGCCAGAAGTCTGCATTGAACACTTTCCTTGAGCAAGGGCTGTAATCCTCAAATGGTATTAACAACCAACCAAAAGGTGTACTTTTGCGTCGAAGCTTAAACCGGCAACTCTCGGGTTGGGAGTTTTAATCCTTATCCGTGAGCTATATGGTCGCCGTTCACCACATCAAGCGCATCGTTACATCAATTAATTTAACAGGTTCTTGTCTCACCTGCCGAATTCACTAACCATAATGTCTGCTGTTTCGCAGGGTCTAAGGCTTTCAAACGAATCGTAAATATTTTAGTTACCTAGTTCAATGTTTTCCACTATTAAATTACCATATGACTGAATTCATTAGCATTTTTGCCTGTGACGCACACGCTATTACCTCGTTCTGCACGACAGTGCCACCAGTGCAATACTTACTGAAGGACACCCTTCCGATGGCAGTAAATCATCCTGATCACACTTGTTTACTACCCGTCTTAGCGTACTTCATAATGTGGAAAAGAGAATGTTGTTTACGATTTCTCCGCTGGCATCAAAATATCCTTCACTGTGTCTTTGCGCTTTTTACAGATCGCCCACGACGAGCAGAGAGACATATATCTGTATCCGCGTGGAGATTTTAGATCCTGATTTACAAAATGACCTCAATATCTAAAGGACGGAATTCCCGACTTACCACATACTGTTGAGCTGACCGATAACTTGTTACTCTTTCACATTTGTTCAAAACGAAACGGATGCTGAATGCTTGTTTCTTTCCACATGTTCGCAGAGGTCAACTGATGTGTGTGTGGCTATGATTCACCACTGCGATTAACTGAATGCCGTTCACGAACTGTGGGAGCGATCAGCATAGTTTTAAGCGGTTTGAGCAATTGTTTCTACTGAAGTGGGGTTTTCATGTTTTTGACCAACAGTGTATTTGATAATTTGGTCAAAACAACAGCGAATGTTCAAGGCCTTGCGGCAGTTCGCTAAACTCAGTCTTATAGTAGTCAACGGTTTCAATCCAATTTTGGTAAATTGCTTCCGATAAATGAAGTTACCGGTTTCTATCCTGGACAATTTTCTCTGCCTCTTTTGTTCGCAGGTACCTTGGATATTGTCTTTGGAGAAGTGGACCGGTAGATCGTGCTGTTCTTTCCTATCCGTATCACTCAAAATCACCAGACCCGACGTTTGTCGGACAACAGAACGGCAACAATCTAATTGGCCTACTGCTCTTCGTCACCTTGTAGTTTCTATCCCCTTCCATACTTTTACGGAATAAAACAATCCAATTAGACAGACTTCTTCTCAAGTGTGCGTTTGTACACCTGATCGTCAATCTGTATGCCGACCCGCTGCTTGTTAACAATAACCCAACTGTCATTACGCCGCTGATTAAAACTGGTGTGGTATTTTGATTTGTTTACATTTCGTTTAGGTATTTCATTTATTGTAACTGCAGTTTTGAGAATCGTGCTCCTTTCTTTTACCTGTCTGACTAGTATACGTAGACAGATTCCGCTTGGCAGACCTTTTGCGGTTTAAAAGATCCCGTCGCGAATCGGTACGTCAGCCAACATGCAATAATCAAGGCGGTAATGTTTACCGAATGAAGTTAAACTGGAAATTGATCAGTATACTTTTCTGTCTCCAAGGTAATTTTGGCCCCTCTGTTTTATCCAGAGTGATTGGCGCGTTCTCTGACGAGAATCTCGCGAAATAGCCCCCCCCACTACTTGATCAAACTTATTATTTCACCTGTTAACTGCAGCGGCTGGAGAAAGTTGTACTCTGTTCGGACTCATGTTGGATCCAAAAGCATTTGATGCATACGTGTGAAGACCTGGTGATAGGGGGAAATTTCGCGCCATCTTTGGCCGGAATTTATTACACACGAAGTAATTTACGGCGAAAGAGGTGCACCCAAATGGGGAAGGTACGTGAGGAAACATTCAGTTTCAGTCTTCAGCTTGTACAATCACTCACCATGCACTTTAGTGCGCCGGTTTTGGTCGTTGTCTTTTGGCTGCGCATTTGGATCAACATTAGTAGAAAGTCGAGTTGAAGAGAAAATTGATAGTTTCAGTGGATTAATGTTGCAAAGAAATCGAGATGCACGAACGCCACTGTTTGCGACACTC